ATAAGTGTTATAAATTGATTGGATTTCCACAAGGTTTCAAGTTTACTAAGGGCAGAAGGTTTGGGATTGCTGCAAATGTTGAGTCTTCTGAAAACTCTAATGCTGCAAATGTTGGTTCCAATGGTCCAGTTTCTGGTATACCTAGTCTTACCATGGAGTAGTATTCCCAACTCTTGAGTTTGCTGCAACAATCCAGTCTTGTTGATTCCAGTCCTCTACCCAACTTTGAGGGGTCTGCTAATTTTGCTAGTAGTAATCTTTCTTTGCCTGAGCTTAATGGTGTTGCTGCTTATTCTGCTTGCATGTTAACTAGTGTAGCTAGAAGTGTTTGGATAGTAGATTCTGGAGCAACTGATCACATGACCTCTGCTAAAGAACTTCTCTTTAACATTACTCCACTTCCTGTTCCCTACTTAGTCAGTCTACCTAATGGATACAAAGTAAAAGTCACATGCATAGGGTCACTCACTCTGAATTCTTCATTTGTCCTGCACAAAGTGCTTTACATACCTACTTTCAAGTACAATCTCATCTCTGTGCATAGGCTGATTCAACAGTTTTATAGCATAGTCATATTTACTTCTTGTTCCTGCTTGATACAGGACCTTTCCAGGAAGAAGCTTCTGGTTCTTGGTAGACCCACCAAGGGCTATACAAACTTCATCACCTTTCCAGTTCACCCCTTTCTGATTCTGTTTTGAATAATGATGGCCAGAATGTATCTAGTTCATCCCTTTCTGATTCTGTTTTGAATATTAATGTTGTGCAGAATGTATCTAGCTCATCTCTGAATACTTCTGTCTGTAGCCTAAATGAAAGTGTGGTTCCCTCTGTTGCATATGTTCATTCTGTACAACATGTGAATAATCTTGATATGATTTGGCATAATAGAATGGGACATCTTCCTTTTGCAAAATTGAAGTGTATACCTTCTGTTTCTTCTGATTTGTCTACTAAACAGCCTTTTATTTGTTCTATATGTCCGTTGGCCAAACAAGCTAGATTGACTTTTCCCGATAGTACATCCAACTCTACTTCTCTGTTTCAACTCATTCACATTGATACATGGGGGCCTTATCATACCCAAACTTATTCTGGTGCTAAATATTTTTTGACAATCGTAGATGACTTTAGTAGGGCCACTTGGACACATTTAATGAGTTCCAAGAGCAATGCATTTACTTTACTTAAAGCTTTTATTGCCATGGTCAAAACACAATTTAATCTTTCTGTTCAAACAATCAAAAGTGATAATGCCTTGGAGCTTGGTTCTTCAAACTTAGCCTGCCAATTTTTTTTCTGATAATAGGATCCTGCACCAAACTACATGCCCTCATACACCACAACAGAATGGGGTTGTTGAAAGAAAACATAGACACTTGCTGGAAATATCAAGAGCTCTATTGTTCCAATCCAAACTTCCAACAAAATTTTGGGGGGATTGTATTTTAACAGCCACTTATCTTATAAATACATTTCCTTCCTCTGTTTTATCTAACAAATCCCCATTTGAAATTCTTTATGGCAAAGCACCCTCTTATAGTCATTTAAAAACTTTTGGTTGCCTTTGTTATGCAAGTGTGCCCAAGTGTCATAGGGATAAATATTAACCTAGGGCTGTCCCTTGTGTCTTTATTGGTTATCCTTTTGGCGAAAAAGGCTACAAGCTTTACAATCTTAAGAACAAGTCTATTTTTTGTCTCAAGAGATGTCCTCTTTCATGAGTCCATTTTTCCCCTCCATCTCAATTATTCTTCCTCTTCATCTCCTTCGTCTCGTTTTCCTCCTGGTTTCCCTTCTTATCTTGATGACTCTACCTCTAATTTTTCCTCTGATCCTCCTCCTTCTCCTTATTCTTTCTTTCCACTTCCCTCTGTCACTTCTTCTCCTACTTCCAATTCACCAGCTCATGCACCAGCTCCTGTTTCACCTCTCCCTGCAGTCAGAAAGTCTACTAGAAGTCATCATCTCCCTTCTCATCTTCAAAACTATGTAGTTCAACTTCCCCCTTATATTTCTTGCTCCTCTACTGCCTCCACTTCTGTTGCTCACCATGTTGCAGTTAAGCCTCACTCTTATGCTCAGGCTGCTGCCAATCCAGCTTGGCAGGAAGCCATGAGGAAAGAATTTGAGGCATTGGAGGCTAATGGGACTTGGGATATTGTGGAACTACCCAAAGATAAGAAGCCAATTGGTTCTAAATGGGTTTACGAAATCAAATATAAAGCTGATGGTAGTGTGGAAAGATACAAAGCTAGGCTAGTCGTACGGGGAGATACACAAATAGAGGGTATTGATTTTCATGAAACATTTTCTCCTGTCGTCAAAATGTGTACTATTCGATGTCTTAGAGCTTATGCCGTTAAGCAGAAATGGTCTTTGTTCCAATTGGATGTCAATAATACCTTTTTACATGGTGATTTGGATGAAGAGGTGTACATGAAACTCCCCCAAGGGCTGTCTGTTGCTTCTGAATCTCCTGTTCATACTTTGGTGTGTAAATTGAATAAATCTTTGTATGGTTTGCGTCAGGCTTCTCGCCAATGGTATGCTAAATTGTCCCATGCCCTTTGCTCTAGAGGTTATAGCCATTCTTTAAATGATTACTCCTTGTTTATGAAGAAATCACCTCAGTCTACTGTGTTTCTCGCTGTATATGTAGATGATATCATTCTTACAGGGGATGATATGCTTGAAATTGCTGCCTTGAAAAGTTTTCTGGATGACCAGTTTCGAATAAAGGATCTTGGGCTTCTCCATTATTTCTTGGGTATTCAGATTCATTATCTTTCTTCTGGTGTTCTTTTGCATCAGTAAAAGTTAAATTCTGATTTACTTGCTGATTTTGACTGTTCTGATGTCTCTTCTGTTGTATGTTGATTGGATTTGAATGCTAAGTTGCACTCTGATGTTGGTGACCCTTTGCCCAGGCCTGACACATATCGCAGCCTCATAGGGAAACTTAATTTTCTTACCCATACTCGCCCTGACATTTGCTTTGCTATCCAACACCGTAGTCAGTTTCTCCAAACACCTAGAGCCCCTCACATGGCTGCTGCTTTACATGTCTTACGCTACTTAAAGGGGACTTCTGATGTTGGTCTATTTCTTAATGATTCTGCTGATTGTTCTTTGGTTGGCTACTGTGATAGTGATTGGGCTGCTTGCCCTGATTCTCGTCGTTCTGTTAGTGGTTTTTGTGTGTTCCTGGGTGGTAGTCTTATTAGTTGGAAGTCCAAGAAACAACAGGTGGTCTCTTTATCCTCCGCTGAGGCTGAATATAGGGCCATGAGAAAAGTTGTTGCTAAGTTGTCTTGGCTGGTCCGTTTGTTGTCCGACTTGGGCTTACAAGTCTCCACTCCTCTCCATGTTTTCTGTGACAATCAGGCTGCCATTCACATAGCCAAGAACCCTGTTTTCCACGAGCGCACCAAGCATATAGAGGTTGATTGTCACTTTATCCGGACCAAGTTGGCTGATGGTTTGATCTCTTTACATCATGTTTCTACTAATTCCCAGTTGGCTGATATTTTTACCAAGTGCTTGACAGGTGGAGTTCATCATTCTTTGGCTGCCAAGTTGGGTGTGTGCCCACCCTCCAACTTGAGGGGGGGTGTTGGAGTTACATAGTCTATGCAGCAGTTTGTAGTGTATTTATTCGTATTGGGCTCAGCAGCCCACATTACTTAGCAACCCATAATCTGCCGGGTCGGCCCACATAATTAGCATTAGCTCTTTACATTTTTACCCCTGTATATAAATACAAACTCTAGAACCTTCAGAACGGAAGGAATTCATTTTTGTATAGAAGATAGAATAAAATGACAGCACTGTTCTTCTTTGTTCCTTCTTCTCTCAAGCCTAATGTACAATTTCTTCTTTTATTTCTGGTACAAATCGAAGCTTTACATATAATAATACCCATATTAAGTTGTGCGAAAATACTATGAATAAGAAAACAAAAATTAATAATGTGGAGATTAAATTATTTAATTTTAAAAATGCCCCTTTAAAATAAATAATCATGTATAACAATCTCGTTATCATTAATCTTCGCATAAGCAATCCATACACCATAATTTATGCATATATGAAATTGATCCACCCAAAGTCACTTATGTTTTCTTATGACAAAAAAATCATTCAACTATTGTTTTGTGTCTTATAAAGTTATCCTAGCCTTTAAGCCACTAAACTCACCGGATTTGCTCAGTTGGCATCTTAAGTCTCATTTTTAATCACAAAAATCTATTAAATAAATCCACACAAAACCCAAAGTAAAATAAAAATGGGTCTAGTTGAACCAACAAAAATGGGTCATGGATCTTTGCATTCATAGCTCTACAAGATTGCACCGTCCTCGCAGTCGCCAATGCCTCGAGGGCCATATCGAGCGTTTTGTGTAAATTTTCATGAATATGGAATCGAAGTGTTTGGGATTTCATGGTGTTAGCTTCAGTTGAAACTTTTACATCTCTTAGTTCCCAAAAATTTTGGAGAAAATTAAAAAAAAAGGATATGGGGTGTGTTTGGTACGAAGGAAAATATTTTTTTGCAAAAGGTTTTCCATTTTTCCCATGTCTTATAGGGTTAAATGTTTGAAAAATATTTTTTTCATGAACTGAGTTTCCTCTAATTGCAGGAAAATGACTTCCCTACAAAAAGGGGAATAAATATTTTTCAAAATTCTTTTTCAACCTTCCCCACTCTATTTTCCACCCTCCACCCCCAAAACTACCCCCACCTTGCACCACCTGTTAAGCTAAGATTCTGCCATGAAATGGAGATTAAGGAAGAAGAAAACCTTAGTCTTAAAAGGAACGAGAGAAGTGATTGAGACTTGAGCTAAATAAAATGAAAGTCTCACTAATTGGAAAAACAGAAGGGACCTACTAGTTATTTACAAAGCAACATAATTAAAACCGGACAAGGGCGCGGTCCCTAAATAAAAAATAAAGCCCAATCACTAGTGGGTCCAGTATGAAATGGTCACCTTGGATCTATTTTTTTGGGCTTGGTAATTGGACTCCATCACCCCCCCCCCTCAAACTGGAGGGTGGGAACACACCCAGCTTGGACAATAGCCTGTGATGAGGAATACCTGTCAAGGCCTTATTCAAAAAATCAGCAAGTTGGTGAGTGGTGGAGATATGTTGAAGAGAGATTAAACCAGTGGAAAGCACATCACGAACATAATGACAATCAACCTCTATATGTTTGGTGGGCTCGTGAAATACAAGATTCTTAGCAATGTGAAGGGCAGCTTGACTATCACAATACACGGGGACATGAGAAGAGATCACCAAACTCATGTCACATAGTAAACGAACCAGCCACGTAACCTCAGCCACAACCTTCCTGAGGGCTCGATATTCAGCCTCTGTAGAAGACAAAGAAACAGTCTGTTGTTTCTTTGATTTCCTGGAAATGGGAGAACCCCTAAGAACAATATAGTAACCAGTCACAGACTTCCTGGAAATGGGGCAAGCAGCCCAATCTGAATCTGAGTAGGCCTGTAAGGAAAAATCAGCTGTGTTGTTGAGTAGAATACCCTGAGAAGGAGCATTGAAAAGATACCTAAGGACATGTAGAGCATCCAACATGTGAGGCACCTTAAGAGATACCAAGAACTGACTGAGATGTTGTACTGAGAAGGAGATATCCGGCCTGGTATGTTGGAGAAAATTCAGCTTGCCAATGAGCCTCCTATACAATGAGGGATCAGGAAGAGGATCTCCAACTTCAGAGGTGAGCTTGGCATGAGGATCAAGTGGAGTAAGAACATTTTTCACATCAAGACAGTGAAATTCTTGGAAGAGATCCCTGGTGTACTTGTACTGATTGATAACATAGCCTTGAAGGACTTTGGTGACCTCAAGACCTAGAAAGTAGTGTACAGAACCAAGATCTTTTATTTTAAAATGTTGATCCAGAAATGATTTCAGGGCAGCCATTTCATCAGAATCATTTGCCAGCCAAGAGAATATCATCTACATATACTGCCAAAAGAATAATAGAGGAGGCAGAAACCTTGGAGAATAGGGATGGGTCATTCTTGCTAGGAGAATACCCTTTGGAAATTAGAGAAGCAGACAGCTTGGTAAACCACTGCCTTGATGCCTGTTTGAGGCCATATAGAGATTTTCTCAATCTACAAGCCAAAGGAGGATAAGAAGAGGTGGTAGTGACAATGAGGCCCAAGGGGATCTCCATGTAAACTTCTTCATGGAGGTCACCATGCAAGAATGTATTGTTAACATCTAATTGATGAACAACCCAATTATGTTTGACAGCAAGAGCGAGGAGGCATTTGATGGTGCAATTTTGACTACACCACTGAAGGTTTCAGTGTAGTCAATGCCTTCCTATTGAGAATCGCCTCTGATAACCAGTCTGGCTTTCAATGGACCCATCACTCTTCTAGTTGACCTTATACACCCACTTGCATGGAATAACCTTCTTGCCAGGTGGCAAAGGTACAATATCCCAAGTGTGATTGGCATCCAAGGCCTGAAATTCCTTGAGCATAGCATCTTTCCAGACAGGGTGAGGTGCAGCTTGTTGAAAATACTGAGGTTCATGGAAAGGAGAAACAAGTGTGGACAATTTGGTAGGAACAACAGAACTAACAGAAGTGCATATGCAATCTTTAAGATAGGTGGGAGGATTAATGATTCTAGTGGAATGTCTGAGAGGTGCAGAAGTTGAAGAAGGTGTAGAAACTGAAAGAAAAGAGGGTACCTCAGTAGGAGGAGGAGAAAGAGTAGAAGAATCAGTAGGAGGAGGAGAAAGAGTAGAAGAAGAAGGTGAAAAAGGTGAAGAAGGTGAAGAAGGGGGATGATAAGAATGTGGAGTAGGTGAAGAATGATGGTCAGAATGAGGAGTAGAAGCAGGAAATGGGGGATCTTCAAAGAAAGAGGAGTTGGTGTGGATGCTGAGTAAGAAGGAGGAACAGAAGATGGAGTAGAAGAGTGGTAGGGAAAGATGTACTCATGAAAAGAAACATCCCTGGAAAAAAGAATGGGGTGATTGTCTAAGTTCAAGAGTTTATAACCCTTCTTTCCCAATGGGTACCCTAGAAATACACATGGAGAAGCTCTAGGTTGAAATTTGTCTCTCTTTATCTTGGGTAGAGTGGCATAGCATACGCAGCCAAAGGTCCTCAAATGATTATAAATAGGAGGATGGCCATGCAACTTCTCATAGGGAGAGATATTCTGAAGAACAGGGGAAGGAAACCTATTAATGAGATATGTGGCTGTTAAGACACAATTACCCCAGTACTTGACAGGAAGTTTGAACTGGAAAAGTAATGCTCTAGAAGTTTCTAAGAGATGTTTGTATTTCCTTTCAACCACTCCATCTTGCTGGAGAGTGTGAGGTATAATGGTTTGATGGATGATGCCAGATTCAGCAAAAAAGGAAGCAGCCTGAGAACTTGAACCAAGTTCAAAGGCATTTTTTGATCTAAGTGTTTGAACAGAAGTGTGAAAGTGAATTTTGACCATAAGAACAAATGCTTTAATAATGTTGAATGCATTGCTTTTACAAGAAAGTAAATGAGTCCAGGTGACTCTAGAATAGTCATCCACAATGGTTAAAAATATTTGAATCCATGATATGTTCTAGTATGATAGGGACCCCACAAGTCAACATGAATAAGTTGAAATGGATGAGTAGATTTAATGGAACAATCTGAGAAGAGGAGTCTTTGCTGTCTAGCTAAAGGACATACAGAACATTGATCATGGCCAACCCTGTACTACTATAAAGTAGCAAGAGAGGTCGAAGCAGCTTTTACCCGAGAAGGTTGGGATCGATTTCCACAGGGAGCTAGAGGTTGGAACTGAGTTTCTATCTAAGTTAGAGTTGCGTAATTGTTCCTAATTGCACTTCTAAATATTTTTGGTTTTGATATTACTTCTAAATTTATACTACTAAGATGCTAAATTAAGCTAACTTAAGCTAAAAGGAGACTATTGTAGATTGTCTAATTAGTTAAAAAGGCACTAGGGGAGTGACTTTCACCTAGGTGGATAACTGACGGGTTCTCGTGTCTAAGGCTAGGTTGTCATATTTGGGGATTACGATATAACCATTGCACGATTCTACTCACTCTATATCTCTCGGTAGTTCGAGTGATTTTGCCCTAATTGACTTTCTCAAGATCAATTGGGTATGATCATTTGTGCAAGCAATCTAGGTTCAAGTCGGGTATTACGATCTCTCGGTTTAACCCTTTAATTGGGGCTGTCAATTCTCTTGAGTACGCCCCAATTCCTTGTTGGACTAATTTTATAGACTTAGGCTCTCTATCTCAAGAAGAGCCAAAATCAACTAAGCATAAACTAGTGTTTGCAACCACTAATTCAACAATAAAAATATAAATTAGTCCAAATATCAAACACCTATAGACATTCAAACCTTAAAACACAAGACTTATCAATTACCCACACTAGGGTTGAGCCACAACCCTAGCTGATGGGTCTAGCTACTCATGATAATAGAGGAAAACAAAAGAAATAGATGAAGATAAACCCATAATATTAAATTTCTAATTAAAACTTGAAGATTCAATGGTAAAACTCTTGTAAAAAATTACTCCAAATAGTAAGAAAACACTATTCATAAGCGCACCTCAGCTGTAGAGTCTAACTGATGACCTAAAAATGGGAAAAGAAACTATTTATGCTACGCTGAAAATGCTGGACAAAAATACCCCTGCGGGGCTAGTGCGGACCGCACAAAATCGAGTGCGGCCGCACTAAGGCTCTTAGCTAAAAAATCCTGCTCTCTAAACATGGCCACCGCGGACCGCACAAAATGCACCGCGGCCGTGGTGGCTCCTGTTGCGGTCCGCACAAAATGGAACGCGGACCGCATTGCCATCAATCCTCCAACTTGACAGCTCTCGGAAGTTTAGCTTTGCGGACCGCACAGAATCGAGTGTGGCCGCAATAAAGTCAATGCGGACCGCACATAATGGAGTGCGGCGGCATTGCTTTTCTGCCTTTGATAAGTACTCTCTGAACCTCTCCTTTGCGGACCGCACAGAAGGAGTGCGGCCGCATTGGTCCTGTTTTGCTGAGCTTGGACTTGTTCTTGGTACTTGTGCATATTTCACTCCTTTTTGAGCTGGTTTTGACGAATTGTCACCTTGTTGATCAAACCCTGCAATCAAGTACAACATGTAAGCCTTTGGGACTATTTTGTACATATTTCTAATCAAAACTCAAGTAAGGAGTGTAAAATGCATCATAATCCCTAGTTATCAAACAAATAAAAGATTGCTTAGAAGACAGTTTATCAGACAAACAAGAAATATATTTCATCTAAGAAAAAGGCATATATCCTAATCTTTGATGCAAAAAAAATCAACTTTATTACCTGAAGTAACATGATTACATAAGGTAGTGCAAGCACTGTAATCACATCTAGGTAAAGAAGGAATAACTGAAATGGTATTTACAGATGTATCAAGTTTAGAAGAGGATTGAATGACATACAGCCCATTTGGTGCTCCACCAATTTCCAATGGCCTCTTCAGAGAAAGGCCCTGTATGAGACAAGAAAATTTGGTAAATAAGGCTGTACAACTGAATTGAGAAACTAATTGAGGAACAAAGATGAGATTGAACTGAAAAGAAAGAACTAGAAGAACATTAGACAAAGTAAAATCAACACAAAGATTTAGATAACTAGTGCATGTTACTTTTACTTTATAACCATTTGGGAGTGTTACTAGAAAAGGAAAGGATAAAAGTTAAATGTTGTGTAAGAGATGTTTGTGAGATGTCATATGATTTGTTGCACCTGAATCTAGAATCCAAGTGTTCACTTTTAAATCTGAAGCACAACACAAGGCAAGAGAATAAACAGCATGGCTGCAGAACACACCTGCAAAATCACCCATGGCAACATTGCTAGTGGGAGCTTCCTGGATTGGTGTGGTTATGTGAGATTGTTGAAAGAGATTCATCAAGTATTGGTATTTCTCCTTGGTGAAACCATGAGCAGAGGCGGGTGTTGTACCTTCATAGGAGGATGATGAATTTGTTCTAAGTTCATCAACTTGAACACAAGCTGCTGACCTTTTTCCTTTAGTGAATTTGAAGTCCATTGGGAAGCCATGAAGTCTGTAGCACTTGTCAACTGAATGTCCAGGCTTCTTAGAATATTTGCAAACACTAGTCACCCTCTTGTTATCAAAATTGACCGTCTGAGTGTAGATTTTTTTAGTGTTGTTGTACTGAGGAAGAACAATGGGTGGAGTAGGAGAGGTCTTGACAGAAAAAGAGGCAGACTCTGAGAGGAAGTTGACCCCTGATGATTGAAGTTCTCTTTGATTTTCATCATTAAGGAGCATAAAATAAGCCTTTCCTAGAGTTGGCATAAGAGTCATCATTAAAATATTGCTTCTGATATTGGAGTAAGTGTCATTGAGCGCAGTTAGGAAGTGGATCAGTTACTGCCCTTCACTGCATTGTGGCTTAGCCCCATGTGCAAGATGGACCAAAAGAGGCAGTTTTCAACTCATCCCACAGCTTCCTAAGTTTGGTGTAGTAACTAGGAATATCAAAAGATCCTTGAGAGACACCAGCAACCTCTCTTTGAATTTGATAGTACCTACTGGCATTAGACTGCCCATACCTTTCCTCTATATCTCTCCAAATCTCTCTTGCAGTGTCACAATGTAGGACACTATCAGCAATATCTTTAGACAAAGAATTGCTTAACCATGCAAACACCATGTTGTTGTATCTCACCCAGTGGTCATAGAGAGGGGAATCAGGTGATGGCTGGGAGATTCTTCCATTGATCATCCCAGCCTTGTTCTTTGCAGATAGTACAATAAGAACATTTTTCTTCCAGGATACATAACCAGTTCCATTGAAGGGTACTGGTACAAGTAGATGTCACGACCTAAGTTCTCCCTCCATGAACTGTCGTGACGGCACCTGGTCTCTACGACTAGGTAAGCCTAACAATTAGAGGAAAAAATTTAGAAGTACAAAACTAGCCAACTAACAGGTAAATATAAATAAAGTGCTTAAAAAGCCGCTTGGCATACACAATAATCACACTCTCGGCCAATAATAACACTCACAAAACCCGGAATCTCATGAATCACAAGCCAAAGAAAATACATAGTGTTATAACTCCAGAAGTCTAAACGTAACAAAATACAAGAAGTCTATAACTAAAGGGAGAATAGAGAGGGACTTCTAGGTCTGCGGACGCGGCAGATATACCTCGAAGTCTCTGGATCGCCTCGCCTCGCCTCACGGATAGTATGGCTGAGCAGAAAAACCTAGATCTGCACACGAAAAAACATGTGCAGGAAAGGGCATGAGTACACCACGGCGGTACCAGTAAGTGCCAAGCCTAATCTCGGTCGAGTAGTGACGAGATCAGGTCAGGGCCCTACTGGTTTTTTATATATATATATATATATATATATATATATATATATATATATATATATATAATGGTAAACAGTATGAAATGTGACAGTATAATGGGAATATTAACAGTTAATAAAGATGAAATCACAGAAAGAAATAACTCAGTACACAGAGAGATCAACAGGGGATCTCCCAGGATAACATCCCATAGTCCCAAACATAAATGTGCAGAGGATCTCCCGGGATACCGTCCCGCAGTCCAAATCGTGAATGTACAGGGGGATCTCCCGGAATACCGATCCGTAGTCCCAAAATAAATATCCAGTACAGGGGGATCTCCTGGGATACCGTCCCTTAGTCCCAAAGTAAACATGCAAGGGGATCTCTCGGAATTCCGTTCCGTCATCCCAAAGTAAATACACAATAGTCTCAACAAGGAAATTTACAGTTCTATACAAGTTCGTATCAAGAAAATAGGTAATTCTACCCTAAACATGCCACACAAAATTCAAGTAAGCAGTTAAAGCAGTTAAGACAATTAAGTCACGGAAGCATGCTTTCCTAAGTTAAACAGGAGGCTTCAAATACTAGTATTACTCAATTTAAAGAAAAACACAGATATTTACTCAATGAAAACGGGGGTTTTCAACAATTAGCACGTGTACGCAATCGTCACCCCACGTACACGACATTCATATAGCAACAGTACCAAAATCCTAAGGGGAGTTCCCCCACACAAGGTTAGGCAAGCCACTTACCTCGAATCAACTCAAATTCAATCCGATATCGCGCTCTTGCCACGAGTATCCAACTCCGAGTGGCCCAAATCTATTCAAATCAATTACATAACGTAAATAAAACTACAAGCAACTAATTTAACCAATGAATTTAAAGCTACGACGAGAAATTAGAAAGATGCCCAAAAATCCTCCCCGGGCCCATGTCTCGGAATCGTGTAAAATTTACCAATTTAGAACACCCATTCACTCACGAGATCGCTCGTCCAAAAATTACTCAATTCTGAAAACTAAAACCCGATCAAAATCCAAAAACTCAGTTGGGGAACTTTTCCACCAAATCCCCCATTCTTCCACTCAAATTCTTAGATTAGATGTGTAAAACAACAATAGATTAATGTATTGGAAACAAATTAGAGTCAGAATTCGTACCCAATAATTCTCCTTCAGAATCTCTCAAGAAATCGCCTTCTACCGAGCTCTAAATCAATTTCTGAAGTTATGAACTCAAACCCTCGATTTCACTCTTTTCTGACCAGCGATTTCCGCTTCTGCGAGGGGTCCACCGCACCTGCGGTCCCGCTTCTGCGGCTCGGACTCCGCACCTACAGAAATTCATTAAACCCCCAGGCATCGCACCTGCGCTCCCTTCCTCGCAGATGCGGTACCGCTTCTGCGGTCCTTGGGCCGCATCTGCGACCATCCGTCCTCATGCCTCAGACCATTTCTGCGGTTTCCAAACCACTTCTGCGGCGCCGCACCTGCGGTCCAACATACGCAGGTGCGAAACCAACAAGTTCAGCACATCAGAAATTTGCCTAAGTCCAACTTCAATTCTGTTAAGCATCCGAAACTCACCCGAGGCCCCCGGGACCTCAACCAAACATACCAACCAATCCTAAAATATCATGTGAACTTAGTCGAGCCCTCAAATTACATCAAACAACGCTAAAACCCCGAGTCACTCTCCAATCCAAACCTAATGAACTTGAATTTCCAAATTTCTACAACCGATGCCAAAACCAACCAAACCATGTCCGATTGAACCCAAATTTTGCACACAAGTCACATTCAACACTACGGACCTATCCCAACTTCTGGAATCGGATTCCGACCCCGATATCAAAATTTCACTATCGGTCCGGAAACTTCAAAAATTTAACTTTCGGCATTTCACGCCTAAATAAGCTACGGACCTCCAAAATACAATCCGGACACGCCCTTAAGCCCAAAATCACCCAACGAAGCTAGCGGAATTGACGAAATTCCATTCCGGAGCCGTTTTCACACTGCTCCTACTACGGTCCAAATTCTAAAGCTTAAGCTCTCATTTAGGGACTAACTGTCCCAAAACATTACGAAACTCAAAACGAATCATCCGGCAAATCACAATAGCAGAAATAAACACGGGGGAGGCAGTTAATAGGGGATTGGGGCATTAATTCTCAAAACGACCGGCCGGGTCGCTACATCATCCCCCTCTTAAAACATTCGTTCGTCCTCGAACTAGCATAGCGACATACCTGAAGTGGTGAAATGATGAGGGTAACGGCTGTGCATATCCTGCTCGGTCTCCCAAGTCTCCTCCTCGACCGGCTGATCCCGCCACTGAACCTTTACTGATGCAATGTTCTTTGACCTCAGCTTTCGAACCTGCCTGTCCAATATAGCCACTGGCTCCTCAACATAAGATAGATCCTTGTCCAGCTGGACTGAACTAAAATCCAACACGTGCGACGGGTCACTGTGATACCTCCGGAGCATCGAAACATGAAATACCGGATGAACTCCTGCCAAGCTGGGAGGTAAGCCAAGCTCATAAGCAACCTTCCCAACACGTCACAATACCTCAAAGGGACCAATAAACCTAGGGCTCAATTTGCCCTTCTTCCCAAGTCTCATAATGCCCTTCATAAACGAAACCCGAAGCAAGACCTGCTCTCCAACCACAAATGAAACACGCTAACCTTCCGGTCCGCATAACTCTTCTGTGTGGACTTGGCTGTGCGAAGTCTATCCTAAATCGCCTTAACCTTCTCCAAAGCGTCCTGAACCAAGTCTGCACCCAATAATCTAGCCTCGCCTAGCTCGAACCAACCCACCGAGGATCTAAACCGCTTACCATACAGAGCCTCATACGGTGCCATCTGAATGCTGAACTGGTAACTGTTGTTGTAGGCAAACTCCGCAAGCGATAAGAACTGATCCCAAGAACCTCCAAACTCCTTCACACACGCACGGAGCATATTCTCAAGAATCTGAATATTGCGCTCGGACTGTCCGTCCGTCTAGGGGTGAAATGTTGTGCTCAACTCCACCCGAGTACCCAACTCATGTTGTACGGCCCTCCAGAACCGTGATGTGAACTAAGTACCTCTATCTAAAATGATGGAAACCGGAATACCGTGCAGATGAACAATCTCCCGGATATAAATCTCAGCCAACCGCTCTGAAGAATAGGTAGTACACACAGGAATGAAGTGCGCGGACTTGTCAGCCAATCCACAATTACCCAAATGGCATCGAACTTCCTCAAAGTCCATGTAAGTCCAACTACAAAGTCCATGATGATCCGCTCCCACTTCCACTCCAGAATCTCAATCTGCTGAAGCAAGCCACCCGATCTTTGGTGCTCGTACTTCACCTGCTGACAATTGAGGCACCGAGCTACAAACCCAACTATATCTTTCTTCATCCTCCTCCACCTATACTGTTGCCTCAAATCGTAGTACATCTTCGCGGCACCTGGAGGATGGAATACAGCAAACTGTGGGCCTCCTCCAAAATCAACTCCCGAAGCCCATCAACATTGGGTACACATACCCGACCCTGCATCCTCAATACCCCGTCATCACCAATGGTCACATCTCTGGCATCGCCATGCAAAACCTTGTCCTTGAGGATAAGCAAATGAAGGTCATCATATTGACGCTCCCGGATACAATCAAACAAGGAAGAGCGAGAAACCACACAAGCGAGGACCCGACTGGGCTCTGAAATATCCAATCTCACAAACTGGCTGGCTAGGTCCTGAACATCCATCGCCATGGGCCTCTCTGATGTTGGTAGATAAGCCAAACTCCCCAAACTCTCCGCCTGGCAACTCAAAGCGTCGGCCACCACATTGGCCTTGCCCGGGTGATACAAGATTGTGATATCATAGTCCTTCAGCAGCTCTAACCACCTCCTCTGATGCAAATTAAGGTCCTTCTGCTTGAACAGATGCTGCAAACTCCGGTGATCAGTGTAGATATCACAAGGAACACTGTACAAATAATGACGCCATATCTTCAAGGCGTGAACAATAGCAGCTAACTCGATATCATGGACAGGATAATTCTTCTCATGAACCTTCAGCTGTCTGGACGCGTAGGCAATCACCCTACCGTCCTGCATCAATACCGCTCCAAGGCCAATCCTCGAGGCATCACAATAGACAGTATAAGACCCCGAACCTGTAGGTAATATCAATATCGGGGTTGTAGTCAAAGTTGTCTTGAGCTTCTGAAAGCTCTCCTCACACTCCTCCATCCACCTGAACGGAGCACCCTTCTGGGTCAGCCTGGTCATAGGTGCTGCAATGGATGAAAATCCCTTAACAAATCGACGGTAATAACCCGCCAAGCCAAGAAAACTACGGATCTCTGTAGCTGAGGATGGTCCAGGCCAACTCTCCCTGCT